GTTTATATAGCATCATATAAGGAACCGCTCGACCAATCAGATTGCTGGAAACTCTGCTCAGCTCTGAAATTATACTAAATATATATATAAATGAAATTGCAGAGCAAGAAAAGATTTGATTGAAGTTAGTCCTGATTAGAACTTTTTTTGGGAGTGGTGACTGTAGTTTTGAGAACCCTAGCGGAAATGACCATCAGACCCAGAAGAAATCATTTCACTTTGTTGTTGGATAGTGTCAGTAGTCTTTGTTGGAGTAATGAGAGGTACAGGAAAGAGTAACATAGCATATAAAGAGTTGTTGTTTACTTGCACTCTGTATTAAAAGGGGCATGATGTAGATTTGAAGAAATCTTTTCTTAAGTTAATATTTTTCTTCATTAGATTACACCATAAATTTTCTTCTCCACATGTTATCTTCAAACAGTGTTTATTTTGAGGTAAAGAACAGGGTGAGACACCCATGAAAAAAAAAAAAAACATGAAGAACTATGCAGTCCTTGCCTTGCTTCCCCAAATTGAAGACAGTAATTAACTGCCCTTGTCTCAGATGAAATAAAAAAATTGTGGGACATGGGGGAGAAAAGGGAACCAGACCCCTTCCCCTTAAGTTTGATTTGCTTAACAATGTCTCGAACCTCAGACTATTTGGATATTCTAATTTTTGGACTGAATTACTTGCTTATTGTGTAATAGACATGATTGCTTTGATTGCAGTTTACCTTCACATCAATTTTTTTACTAATCATCCACTGATCAAATCCAATTAACCTTTCATTTCTGTGATTGACTGAAGAATGAATTTCTCCCTACAATGTGCAAACATTTTCAAGCAGAAAGGTGACAAGAAGTGAGAAGAAAATCACAAGGGTGGATATTCTGGACATTGTGATTATCTAACCTCAAACATGTGGCTTCATAAATGGGTTTGTGGAGGGGCATCATCGATATTATTACAAAATTGTTGCTTATGATTGGTTTTTGGCAACCAAATTTGTGCACCTATACACCGAATTAAAATATGGCATCCAATTTGAATTACCATTCTTCTGGACTTACTAGCCTCGTCTTCACGTAGAAAATACAAAAGCATTATCACATGTGTGAGAGGCTAGTAAGTCCAGACCAGTGGCAGTTCAAATTGGACGCCATATTTCGATTCGGTGTATAGGACACTGTACATGTTATTCTTGTAATTGCATTGTAAGTGTAAAGGACAATTTTCCTTGTCTCCTCAAATTTTGTCCCAACCATAGTCTGGACTGATTTGTAAGAGGCGTTATGTCATTAAATTCTTTCTGTTATCGGACAAATGATTAAAACTCAGACTCCTGAATCATGCTCGGCCAATTTTTTTCACTCCTACAATACCAGATTGGATTGGACACTGCCCAGTAGTACTATTGTTACAAATCTTCTGGTAAAATACCATGTCTGTGGCAAGTTTCATCCTTCCTAGTCTCAAACAGGATATATTTTTCTTGCACCAAGGGAATTATACCCATCTGGGAGCAACTTCAGAATACCTGTCCACATCATTTACATATGTTGGGAGGCTTTGAAGAATGAGGCATAACACAATAGACGCTATTCTTATTCAATGATGTGGCCGGGTATTCTGAAGTTTCGCCCCCATCTGTTCACCTTTCATCTACTAGCATCACTCTTTTAACAAGTATTCAAGACGTACCATTCTCCCCGGCTTCCGTCGTGAAGACGTACTTACTACTCTCCGCCCATTCCCCCTTCCCCCCACTTCTCCTCCTGAATCTGCCTACTGAATCTGCAGACATTCAAAAATCAAAACGCCAGGCAAATAAAAATTTCAAGGAAGCTGTTATGAATCAAAAAGGTCTTAGCTTGTCTTAGCTTAGCTTGTCCGTGAAATCATGAAATTCCTTTCATGTGTCCAAAGTTTCAGTAAGGCGATGCCTAATATCCTCAAATATTGTCGCACCCATTCTGTCGTATCCCGCCAGAGAGAAATGAAGATGATCTGCCCAAAACGTTCTACGATCCTCATCACTCAGCGATTCCGGCGGTAACTTTGTAGCCAGGTCAGATAGAAGCATTCTATCTCCATGTTGTTGCACAAAATTCTTTAAAAGCGCGTTCACTTGCAGACGTTTCTCTCTGACGACAGTATACTCATCTACGGTTTCGTAACCGGTTTCCGGGATAGTCACAGCCACTGATAAAGGAGAATGTTGAAGAGCTAGCTCGTGAAGCGATCTTAAGCGTCTGAATAAAGGCTCTCCATTCTTATCAAGAGGCACGCCAAGGTCGTTTGTGCCTCCTAAGATGATCACAATGTCGAATGGGCCATCCTTGTCCAAGACCACAGGAAGACGAGTGTTCACTTGGTCAGTAGTTTCACCGCTCACACCCCTGTTTACAATATCGATAGACTCTGTCTTGCACACGGATTCAATGAGACTTTGCACTTTAAGGGTATAAGGACGGAATCTAGTCCCAAATTCACACCAACCTTCCGTCAGACTGTTACCAAAAGCTAAGATTCGAATCGCCATCTTGTTATTGAGGACTGAGTGATTCAGTCGGAAAGGGAGGAAATATATCTTATTATTAAAAACTAGATCATTGGATAATGCAATTCAAGAC